GGTGATACTTATTAAGGGTTCTAAACAAATAAAATTAATTTATTTTTTCAAAAAAATAAAATGAAAGATCTTGTAAGAATAATTCCAAAACTTTTGCTGTTAAACAGTAAATGAAAACTTAGTGAAAAGATTACAACACAACTCTAAATTGCAGGGAATATGAACTATGTGACTCACAAACTAAGACAGGCACTGCCAAAGCGATCTTGCCAACATCCTCATCAGCTTGCATGCGCCTGAAATTTGCAGATATGCATCAATTCAAGAACAAAATGTGGATATTGGATAACACCATACAATCATTTATAAAGACATGAAACAACGAGACGAGACAGGAAGTTCCAACTCAGGTTATGAGGTAACAATAGATCATCATAACTATCATAATCATCAAAGGTTCATAACTATCCATCACAAGAAACACTAGGCAAAAACTCAATCATTCGAATTCGATACACTCATAAAACAACAACACACGGAAATGGAAACTTTTAACTCAGTGACCAAGAAGCACTATAGCCTTTAAACCAAAAGATCACAAAAACTATAAAAGCTACTGAAACTACATAATCTAAAACCATGGTGAAATTGAGTTGTAATTGATCCAGACGAGTTTCAAGCATTTGCAACATACACTTCCTCTCGAAATTTAGCAATTCGACATTCAGTAGAAACACATCTCCCAAATAAGATCAAATTTATCAGGACAAAAAGAAGCCCTCCTTTTTACCAAACACATAATAAAAAAGAACAATATTAGCAACCCAATTCCCAAGTATATTTCACAAAAACATTTGAAACAAGAATCTATGAAATCGTTTCAGAGAATTTTCTTTGCATGTAAAACTAAACTAAGAGTACTAATTTGATTCTTAAAGCATAATTGATCGATCCTATTTTGGGTAAAACTAACAATTCCCTCCGATTATCATCTTAATCTCAAATTATTAAGCCATGTATTAGCAGAGAACACTTACAGGGAGGACAATAAGGTCGAAAATGGAGTCGGTAATATCAGAGAAGAGAGTATCGACGACCATCTTGATACCATGACAAGCATCAACACCAACTTGATTCTCGACGGATGTCACCGTCACGTCAGCACCACCTCGCTGTAATACGGTGATCATCGCCACCGCTCTACTCAAATCTCAGTTAACCCAAGCAATTCAGGAAAGAGGAGAGTGATTACCTCATGGAGAACCTTGTTCTTCCGCGACTTGTCAACACTCTTGCAAGCAAAATACTCGATCGTTCAAAATCGGATCTCAAAACCGAAGCGGAGGTTGCTCAGAGACTTGAAAAAGCTTGACGGAGAAGACGATCTTTCTCAACTCGCTACTGAGTCTGTACACTACAATCCAACGGAGCTTCACACGTGGCTTGATTCCATGCTTTCCGACCTCAACCCAAAATCAGACTCCGATCTCAAAGGTATTCTCGGTGACGCGGTTCTCAATTAGTTCTCTCTCTTGATTCGTCTTCTTCGTCGAACCAAGTCGGCGATGCAAACGAAGAGAGAAGGAGAAGAAGAGAGAAAGATGATAAATCGCCATTATCGTCGTCGCTCTCGAGAGAAGAAGAGGTCGAACACAAATGAATTTTTTTTTCCTTTCAACAACCCTAAACGAGTCGGCCCAATGAGCGGACGCCACGTGTCCCCGGTGATACGTCTCATAACCTCAACCCACTGATACGTTTCACACCATTTTTAACCTTCTTTCATTATTTTTAATCTATTTTAATCTTATGATACTCACAAAATATCACCAATAATGATGGTCTTATACTTTTGTAACACTTCATGTATGTGCTTATAAATATCGAAATGGCCAATCATACCTCGAGAAAACACACATCCTAACTTCCGAAACATGCCGAAAAGAATTAGAAAATTCGAAGCAATGATAGGCGGTTAGTAGTGCTTTTTCTTGTTGCAGTTTCAGAATTCTTTCCCACTAGTTATTGTAGGCCTTATTTTTGCTCCTTTTTTTTGGCAAGTTCCTTTGTCTCCCTCTCTTACGATTTAGTTTATGGAAGATGTCTATGATTCGTGGGCTTAGTCTCATTTTGCTTAGTTTGTTAGCCGTTAGCTTTTGTATCCTATCGAAAATTTAATGATATATAGTTGCCATTCTTTACAAACTATATAGAACGATCTTTTTAAAAATATAGTATATATTTGTGTATTGAAGATTTTGATTTATTTACTTAAGCAAAACAAAATATATTAAATATGATCAAACCATCGGGACCATCAACATAGCTTTTTTCTAGAGTCATTCACTAATGCATTTTCAATCCTATTTAATTTTAAAATTTTTTATTGATTTATTGATAAAAAAATAAAAATTTAAGCTTGTCGACCCAAAAAAAACAAACAAAACTTAGGTGTGATAGTTTGGCATTGTTAGAATAAAAAACGTAACCTAAAGACATTTTATTGATTTATTCTGTAATACTCTATTGTTTGTCCAATCAAGATAAAATACGTGGAAAAATGGTTAAAATTAAAATAAAATTTTCATCTAATAAATACTACTAGTAAATTTTTCATCCATTTACTCTTGTTTTCCTGCTTTTTTCTTTCTTTCCATTTACTCCTTTCTACTCCATCTTTTAACCAATCACACCTTTTCCAATGCATAAAAATATTAAAAACACACTCTCTCTTCCTTTTACTCAACTTTATACCTTCTCTTTCATCTTTTTACTCAACTTTTATTAATTTTATATTTAAACACATTCCAACTTTCATCCATTCTTTCTCCAACTTTGTCTTCCCCGAGACATTCTCTCTCCAATAATACCCACTATCTCATATCTTTACTCAAATTTTATTAATTTTATATTTCAATACACCCCATTATTTCAACCAAAAACACTCTTTCTTCTTTTTACTCAACTTTTAATAATTTTATATTTAAAGACACCTACAAAAATCTCTAATTTTTGTAGATATGTTTGACTATATAAGTTCATGTGAACCTCAAACAGAAACCTACCGTACGTGAAAAGTAGTTGGATCATACAATCCATTCATTGCGATTGAGTTGTCAATAGTCGATACTGGACCAACCTTATCTAATGCAAATCACAGGCCATATGCAACGCGATACTAATAATTTAACAAAAAACAAAACTTATACTGATAC